GTGAACTCGCCCACCCATGTAGCTAAAATTACAGACAGAGGAGTCACTAATGGCTGGCTGGCTTCCTCCCTCCCTCCCTTCCTCCCTCCATCTTTCCTTCCTTCCTTGTCTTCCTGCCCTTCCTGCCTTCCTTCCAACTCAGACAGAAAAATAAGCAAGTGAATAACCTCAGCATCATTTAATCTTGAATGACCTATGGCACAGTAAACTCAAATTAAAGTGTGCTTTTAAATTTACACGAGAATGTCAGTATCATGATGAAAACTAGAGAATTCCATCTAGGTAATGTGTTGTAGTTCTTAGCCACTTCCCTGTCATGGGGTGTTTTAGGGAGTTACCAAGTTTTCCCATATTATAAATAGTACCTTGATGAGCAATCACTGGGTTTTTTGGTTTTTGTGGGTTTTCTTTTTTTTTTTTTTTTTTTTTTTTTTTTGGTCATGGGGCTTGAACTCTGGGCTTGGGCGCTGTACTTGCACTCTTCAGCTCAAGGCTCTCCCGTTTTAGCCATAGCGCCACTTCCGGTTTTCTAGTGGTTTATTGGAGATAAGAGTCTCATGGACTTTCCTGCCTGGGCTGGCTTTGAACTGCGATCCTCAGATCTCAGCCTCCTAAGTAGCTAGGATTATAGGCGTGAGCCACCGGCACCTGACACTGGCTGATTTTGTCCTTAAGAAAAGCCTACTTCCTTTTAGCAAGTTCTTAGGAACGGAGATGCCTGTTAGGCATGACTGAGTGCTTTGCTCATATGTCTTTTCCCTGTACACACTGAGATCCTCTGCTCAGAGGCCAGCCCTTCCATCTGGATCTCTGCATCTTCCCCAGTCATACTGAACTCTCAGTGTGGCTATATCATTACTTAACGAAAGAACATTACTTTTCTTCTTCTTTTTGGAAGATCAAGTCAGTGTTGAATTTCAGGATGACTAATTGAATTAGGTTACTCGATAACATACACATTTTGTAAGCCACTCCTCACATTCATGTTAAGACAGGTTTAAAATGAAAGCTGCTTTTTCCCCTAGTCCTGGGGCTTGAACACAGGACCTGCATTGTCCCTGTGCTTTTTCACTTAAGACTAGTGCTCTACCACTTGAACCACACCTCTACTTCTGGCTTTTTTGGTAGCTCATTGGTGATAAGAGTTTCATGGGCTTTTCTGTCTGGACTGTCTTCAAACCACAATCTTCAGCTCTCCCTGAATAGCTAGGATTACAGGTGTGAGCCACCATGGCCAGGCTTAAAAGCTGCTTTTCTTATGTTACTCTATGAACTGTGGATGTTTGTTAAATCCTCAAAATATTGTTATCATACAGTAGGTTGTTGGAGGACATGGTTGTGCATGCGATTGTGAACTGTTCTGTTTATTGTTTAGTATTCATTAACATCATGTGAATTTGCCTTATTTATCAAAGTTCCCAGTGTCTTCTACGTTGTATTGTTGCCACGTGTATTCACTTTTTTGTAACAAAATACTCAAGTCAGAGTAGCTTTATAAAGAAGGGAGGTTTATGTAAGTCACAGTTTTGGGAGCTGAAAGTCCAAAGACCAGGATGCATGGGCTCCTCCCTTTTGCTAAAGTCTTGATGGCAATGACAGGAGCGTATGTGGGAAGAGAGAATGGATTGAGAAACTGGAAGCCAGAGAGAGCAGAGTCCCATAGCCTCTGCCGAGGCATTCTGCAATTGACCTAAGGATTTTCCATTTTTCTCTCCCTCCCTGCCCCCCCCTCCCCAGCACCAACACAAGGAGGGACACAGACTCCCAACACCTGAACTCTTGGTGGACAAACCAGTGCCATGACTGGACACTTCTAGGGGTAGGGCCCAGACAAAACTACTGCCCTGTCCCTGTCCAGAGGGCCTGTAAAGCTATTGATTTAATAGAAGTGAGGAACCAAGGCTTTAGTTTTCCAGTTCTCTGACAGTAAGAGCTACAGCATCCTCAGTGCAGAAGCCAGGTGTCCCTGACTGGTGCCAGGTACAAGTGCCAGAGACAGGGCTCAGGCAGCTAGAAGCTGATAGAACCAAGGTTTGTCTGGAGTTGCAATCCACAGGGAGTGTTCAGGCCAAACCAGAGATACCTGGACTGTGTTCAGGCCTTGGAGATCTTCTTAGGACCTAATGTAGGAAACGAAAGCATCACACAAGGAGCTGAGCATGGGCAGGCCAGGACTAGGGTCTCTCAGCCCCTCTCATTGCTGTGTTGGTACTGTGATAAACATGTGGAGAGTTGGTGTAAAGATACACAGCTCTTAACTAGGTATCAGTGGCCTATGCCTATGATCCTAGCCACTCAGGATGCTGACATCTAGAGGATCGCAGTTTAAAGCCAGCGTGAGCAGAAAAAGTTTACTAGGCTCCATCTTCAACATAACCAGCAGAAAGCTGGGCTGGAAGCATGGCTCAAGTTAAAACTCTTACCTTCTATCTGACCAAGTGGTTTTGGGACTGGTTGACTTCCTTGTTTTAGCCTAACTTGCCATTCTTTGGCTTTATCTATTACCTATGCAGCATTTGACATTTATGTTTTAGTGTTCACTTTTATAATTTGGGATCTTTTCTCAGTTGGTGTTGGAGTATAGTTCAGATACCTATGTGTCCACAAGACCAGCTAATGGTACTAAAGTCACTTCTTTTTGCAGGAGTTTGGCTAAGGAGATCAAACTTGAATCTGTCTGTATCATTCAAAGCCATATCAAAATGTTCCAACTGGGAAATTAATGCTGTTCTTTAAAAAAAAATAGTGTTACTATACGGGTGATGTAAAGAGGGATTACGGTTAAATAAGTCAAGTATAGAGTATATTTGGTTTTGGACAATGTCACTTCTTCTTTCGCTCTCTCCCAGTTTTTCCCTCCAGTCCTTACCGACAAGTTGTGTGGTTCATTTTCAACATAGTGTCCAGTGAATGCCATTGCTGCATTTGTCCCTCCATTTCTGTACTTCCCCTTACACTCGCAAAGACATATGAATGAATAAACAGAACAAAAAGGAAAGAAAACAAAAACAGCTAAAAAGGAAAAAAAAAGCTCTTGTTTTCATTTTCTGGAGTTCATTTTGATAAGTACTTTTTTATACGATCAGCTGCACATAGGCATCTATGCCTTTCTTCTCCTAAGAGTATCCTCCTTTGGTCTAACTGTGTGTGAATTAATGTTCTTAAAAGTATACACATTCCAGCGCTTAAGTTCCATTTTTTAAAAAAGTGGTTGTAGAGTATTTGTCTAGGTAGGACTCATTCTGGTATAGAGAAACAGCCCCAGCTACAGGAGGTTGGTTTGAAGGGTAGCAGCCCTAGAGATGGGCTACTAGCTTCTTGTCCTGCAACTGTCACTCATCATCGCCTGACACTGAGCACATGAGTCTCTCAGCTTCTTCATTTGTGAAATGACAATGACTGCATATAGGGACATTATAGAGCTGAATTCAGATGAACCTGAAAAGCCCTGATTTCCAGGCTGGCCCATGGTGTTCCATCACTGTGAGCTTGCTAGAAGCTGATCTGATTTGGAAATCTAGGATTGGGGTGTGGTGGGATAATTCCTTCATCCTAGCCCTGGGCTCAATCCCCAGTATGGACTTTGCAGTCTCCTTGTGAGTAGAAGGGATGGTTGTCCTAGAATTGCAGTTTGAATTTAGGTAGTGTCTTTCCCCCCAGAAAACCTTATATATCCTTGGTTTGGTTTATTGATGTTTTCAGTTTTGTTTTGTTCTGGGATGAAACCCAGAACATTATACTTGCTTGACAAGCACGTTGCCACTGAACTACATTACCTGATGTGGAAGAAATAATTGTATTGTCAAAGTCATAGAATTCACAAACTTTATAGACCATGATAATGACAATTTGCCTTGTGAAGGTTAAAATATGTTTGTGACTTTAAGTATCACTATTCCATAATACTGTGAAATATGTGAAATTTATGTAATCACCTAATCTCAATTTTAAAAAACTGGGGATCAAACCCAGGACATTGCACTTGCTAGACAAGCACTTTGCCACTGAACTACATCCCAGCCCTATGTTCCAAGGTTAACTGAAGCAATTAGGCAGAAGCATGTGCCATTGTCAGCCAGACCTCATTGACTGAGTGCATCTGAGTGAAGAAGAGCTCTGTACTGGCTCTAAGAACACAAGGAGGGCAGGCTCTCTGAGAAGTAGACCCCTAGTGGGGAATGGAAAGGCTGGAATCATTACTGCTCTTAGGGAATTAATGACCCTTGGAAAGATTCCATTCTAGGCAGGCAGACATCTGATTTCCTTTAGGTATTGTGGTAATCCATTATGTTATTAGTCATAAGGTAGTGTCCTGTTAGTGTCTTTAGGTCAGCACACAGCCCTGGTCCAGGAATTGTCTTGTTAAGAGGAGGCTGAGCTCTTCTGATTCTGTTTGCAGTGTTAACTTAATCTGCTGCTTGTCCAGATCATTTGTACAGGGCTTTATGGAGAAGTTGCCCAAACCCCATCTGCTAAAATATTATGATTATTTATTTATTTATTGTTGGTCATGGGGTCTGAACTCTGGGCCTGGGCACTGTCCCTCAGCTCTTCAGCTCAAGGCTAGTGCTCTACCACTTGAGCTACAGCACCACTTCCAGCTTTTTCTGCTTATGTAGTGCTGAGGAATGGAACCCCCAGGGCCTCATGCATGCAAGGCAAACACTCTACCACTGAGCCACCTTCCCAGCCCTGCTAAAATATTATGAACATCTCCTGGTTTGGGAGTCCTGCCTCACTGGCTGGACTCTAGGAAGGCTGGCATATAAAGATCTTAGTACCAAGGAAGGTAAGCAGAATTGTCAAAATGTTTTGTTCCAAGATCAGGCCTTCTCACCATGATATCAGTCTCCTCCTCATCCATGGTGATGAGATTGTAGGCTGGAGCCCAGTACGTCCTAGCTTTTCCCTCCCTTCCCAATTCCAAGTACTGGATTTCTATTTTAAGTGGTCTCGGGTCAGGTTACATCTCCTAATGTATTTCCTCTCTCTTCCTGCAGGGGAGCTGCTGAGTCAGCCCAGGCCGGAAGGAGTGGCAGAGATCATCTGCCCCAAGAATGGCAGCGAGAGAGTGAATGTGGCCCTGGTTTACCCACCTACGCCGACTGTGATCAGCCCCTGTTCCAAGTGAGTTCACAAAAGTCTCAGTCCCTGCTTCCTACCCCTGATCCTGGCTCTGTGGATGTGATAACAAAAAGTCAAGTTCAACTGCTACTCACATAAACCAAGAAGAGTCCCTCAGGACAAGCAAAGTTCTACTGAGTGACTTCTTCAGCACCACATGGCTTATGCAGCAACATAGGAGCTACTGTTTTTCTCCTTTTTTGTGATTTTTTTTTTTTACTTTTAGAACATTTTTCTAACAGCTTTAGGAAATCATTCACAAATCACATGCTTGTTTAAAATGCAGTTGGTTGCTTTTTGATATATTTACAGGTATGTGCATTGATGACAGAACATTTTCCCTCCAGTTCATTTCAGTTTTGTTGAAGGCTGCTGGGGTCTTCTAGAACCCCATCACATTGCTGAACGATATGGGCCTCATTTCATAAAGCAGTGAAGTCCATTAAATATTAAAGCGCTGCAGAAAATCCATAGCACATTGGTTTTTGCTGTGGGCCTCTGATGCTCTAGCCAGTCCCAGAAATCAAGTACCATGCAGCTTGCTACCACCTTCTCCTCAGATGGAGAGAAAACCTATAGAGAACACATATTTGTCCACTAGCTTGCATAGAATGTAAGCATTCTAAATAAAACTAGAGTGCTCGCATTCTAGAGTATTCTAGGTATATTCTACAATACACCCTGTTTTCATTTTTTATTAGTGTATTTTTGTGATATCAGGAACTCAAGAGGCAACTTTTTTGTGTATATGTGCCAGTACTGGGGATTGAACTCAGGGCCTTGCGTCTGTTTTTTTTTGTCAGTTGTTGGGCTTGAACTCTGGGCTTGGGTGCTGTCCCTGTGCTCTTCAGCTCAAGGCAAGTGCTGTACTGCATGAGCCACAGCACCACTTCCGGTTTTCTAGTGGTTTATTGGGAGATAAGAGGCTTTGAACTGTGATCCTCAGATCTCAGCCTCCTGAGTAGCTAGGATTACAGGTGTGAGCCATGGGCGCCTGGCTGGGGCCTGCATCTTGACTTGGCTTTTGTGCTTCAGGCTGGTGGTCTGCCACTTGAGCCACACTTCCACTTCCATCATTTTTGTGGCTAATTGGAGATAAGAGTCATATAGACTTTTCTACTTGGGCTGGCTTTGAACTGTGACTGTCAGATCACAGCCTCCTGAGTACCTTGGATTACAGATGTGGCCCACCAGCACCTAGCTTTCCAAGAGGCCATTTTCAGCCCATACTGAAATTCCTGGGTATCTTGTATCTTAGGAAGTAGCCAACCACAAATACTTTTGGATCCAGTCCTGCTATTTTGATGTCAACAATATGGCTTATTCAGCCCAGCAGTCATACTCATGCAGCAAGCTTTTAGCTTTTCTTCTTAGTTAACCATTTAGATTTTTTTTTTTTCTATCTATAAGCTGTTTATAGAGGACCAGCAAGTTTGCATTTGGGAATTGAGGCTTCTTATCTTACCTTGGAAAACTGATTGTTCAGTCACATTCCAGAGCTCCCTGTGGTCAGAGCAGTTCCTTCTTGTCCCTGAGGTGGCAGCTCTACCCCCTGCCTATGCTTTCTGCATGGGGTCTCCAGCCGCACTGAGCTAAGGCGGAGTGTGATGGCTCCTCTGCTCTAAACTGAGCAGCTCATTAGATGGAATGTCCGCCATCCATCTTGGCTGGAAACTATCCAGGAACACCCCCGGGGAATGCTTATTAATGCTGAATTTATAATGCTCTTTCATCTAGCACGTGCCTGGGATAATTCATCATGGGTTTGGCTTGAAGACACTGAGATCTTGAAGTGCCTCGTAAATATTAGAGCGAGATTACATAGGAAAATCTTTGTCAGCAGATGCCCATCCTCAGTATCTAAAAACCCAGAAATTTGACTGTCTGGGTTTTCTTTGAATTTGGCCTCCCCTCTGGTTGCAGATAAGGGGATGTTACAAAGCCAGCAAGGTATGGATCAGAAGGAAAGAGTTACTTAATATGATTGGCAATAATGCCCATTCATCTATTGTTTCACTGTAGACACGTGCCCTTTAATAGGCAAGATAGAGGTGAGAGCTATACGATCCATTTCTAGAAGCCACAGGTTTCCAGGCCTACATTACCAGTGCTTCCCCATGGGTTTCTTGCTGTTCTGAACAAAAAGGCCCCATTTACACCACCTGCAAAGGAAATTATCAGCCTCTCCTTTAAAATTTATTAAACATAAATGAACCAACAGCTTTGACATTCTAGGTAATCAGAGGCCCCAGGCTTAGCCTTTTACTTGAGAGAGAGAGGAAGGGAACACCTTTGGGGCCTGAACTACTTTTCACCTAAAAACTGAAATACTTTTTTTTTTAGAGCCTCAAAATGTCTCATAAAAATGGATGACAGCTTTGTAGTAGAATAAAGGAATATTCTTGAATAGGAAAATTTCACATCTCCAATAGATAGGAGCAAGGAGAAAATTATCTCTTGTGACCAGTTATATGAAAATATGCTTCCATTCAAAGCTTAGCATTGTGTGGCTTAGTTTACTCCCTATTTTCCTTAAGCATGTACTTGAACCCTGAGCATAAACTAAAAATGAACCCACAGAGGCTCTATCAGGCCCAATGGATGGTGTAAAGCACCGTGACTGACAAACATAGCAAAGGGAGATTTGGAAGGCTGATGAGTGTAGCTATCAAAGGAGGTCATTAAGTCCCATGACTTGGGACTGAGCCTAGACATGGGGTCCTAGAAGGCACCAAGCATTGGGAGACTAAGGTTGCTACCCTGTTTTGCAGCTAAAGCCAAGTTAACTTAAGCAGCTCACTGTGAAGTGATCTTCTACCTCCCTGCCATCCACCAAGTGTAGGTACATGGACAAAATCAGGTTTTAATTATTAGGCATGGATATGGGGATTTCATGCATATGAGTTTCCAGGGGAAATGACCAGCCACGAACCTTTCAAAAGCATGGAAGTTAGCCAGATACTCGTGGCTCATGCCTGTCATTCTAGATACTCAAAAGGCTGAGATCAGAAGAATTATGGTTGAAAGCCAGCTCCAGCACAAAAGTCCTAGAGACTTCATCTCCATATAACCAGCAAAAACCTGAACTGGAGGCATAGCTCAAGTGATAGAACCCTGACTTCAAACTCCAACACCAGGGGAACACACACACACACACACACACACACACACACACACACACACACCCTTATGTAAGAGGTGGAGATAAGAAAGTTGGTGTTCAGGGCCAATCCAAGCCAAACAGAAAAGAAAAAGAGCCAGGCGCCAATAGCTCACACCTGTAATCCTAGCTACTCAGGAGGCTGAGATCTGAGGATCATGGTTCAAAGCCAGCCCAGGCAGGAGAGTCTGTGAGACTCTATCTCCAATAAAACCACTAGAAAACCGGAAGTGGCGCTGCGGCTCAAGCAGTAGAGTGCTCACCTTGAGCTGAAGAGCTGAGGGACAGCGCCCAAGCCCAGAGTTCAAGCCCCACGGCCGACAAAGAAAAAAGAAAGAAAGAAAAAGAAAAGAAAAGAGAAAGAAGAAAAAAAGGAAAGGAAAAAATTGGCAAGATCCTACCAACAATCTGGGAATGGTGGTACACATCTGTAATCTGCTACACAGATGGTCATGGTTCCAGGCCAGCTCTGGCAAAAAAAAAAAAAAAAAAAAAAGATGCCAAACTCTGTCAGTGCTAAAGGAATGACTCAAGTGTTAGAGCACTTGCTTAGCAAGCACAAGGCCCAAAGTTCAAGCCCTTATACCACACCAAACCGAACAAAAAGACACCCAGTTGATTCTAATGTATGTCTACTAGACTTTGTGATCCCTCAGTTTCTGTTCTTGGAGGAGTTGGTTCCTAGTGAGGCAGGCCTTACCTCTGCCTATTGGACCTTTCTGTGGTCAGTGTCCAGTTGACAGCACCAGTGCAGAGCCTGGCACATGCTGCCTTGCTGTTAGTTCTCGGTCCCTTCTCCTGCTTTGAACGTAGCACTCAGTGTTCAAGCCAGGAAAGCGTGAGCCTGACAGGAAGTCATTGTTGTTACTCTAGACTATAAGAATATCCCCCTGAGTAACCCCAGACACCCTTAGCCCTTTGATCTAGAATTCCTGTAGTTTTCAAGAGACTCCACGCCCTTCTTTGAGTTTCCTCCTGTGTATGTCAAATCAGACTTGGTATTTAATTGCCTGCCCTTGGCATAGTATAAATTATGCTACTATGTAGTTTATGAAGTACAACCCCACAAGCCAGGCATGGTGGTGCATGCCTGTAATCCCAGCTCTGTGGGAAGCACAGGTAGAAGGAGGGGGAAAGACCCTACTTGAAAAACAACCTAAAGCAAAAAGGCTCTTTTATAGCAAGTGTGAAGCCCCAAGTTTAAAACCCAATATCAAAATGAACCAATGAAATCCACCAATGACTTATCTATATTTTGGTCCTTCCTTACGAAGCCAAACTTTTCTATTTCTTGTTTTTAAGATTTGTGGGTACTTTATACCTTATTCCTTCCTGGGGAACAGTAGAGGTTTTCACTCAGTGTGTGTGTGTGTGTGTGTGTGTGTGTGTGTGTGTGTGTGTGTGTGTGTGTGTGTGTGTGTGTGTGTGTGTGTGTGTGTGTGTGTGTGTGTGTGTGTGTGTGTGTGTGTGTGTGTGTGCTGGCACCAGGGTTTGTTTGAATTCAGATTCTCTTGCTCTCAGTTGGCTTGCTTGCTTACTGCTGGTGCTCTGCCACTTGAACCAGCCTCTAGACTGGGCTTTTGCTGGTTAATTAGAGATAAAAGCTATCCTGCCAGGATATCTTCCAACTTTGATCCTACTTGCATGCATTCAGTGAAGATTTTTAATGTCACTCATGGTCCTGGTATTAAGCAGATTCCTGAGTTAGAAAGAAGTTGTTGTAAACACATGTTATCCCTGATACAATGTAGTGTAAAGACAGTGAATTGATATGCACCCCCATACACACTGCCAGCCCCCAACTTAACGGACAATGGAGAGATGGAAGCTAGGGGAAGCTGCT